GCCTTCCCTCCATAAGGGCCTGCCTTCCATAAAGGCCTTCCCTCCATGACGGCCTTCCCTCCATGACCACCTTTCCTCCATGGGATGGGTGGTCATGAGGCCTCGTTAGTTCATGCCAGAAGAAAAACATGAAGCCTTACACGGATGTTAGTGATGAATAGGTGTTTTATGTAACAAATGGTTACAAATAGATAACTAGGGTTTATAGCCTAACCCTTCAGGTAGGACCGTGGTGTCCTGGTGCTCGCCAGGCCCATGTCCTCCTCTGGCACAAGGGCAGCGAAAGGGAGGACAGCGGCTCCAGAGGAGCTTGTTGCAGATGCCTCATAACAGATCCTGCATCCAGTTTTCCTTGGGGAAATAGCAGGGTGGGTTTGGATGCCTAGTTTGTCCCCAGGAGCTCCTGCTTTGTGGCTAAGGGCTGTATCAGCCAAAGGGGTTAGGAGGAAACGAGCTGCCGCTTTCCTTCCCGAGAGGAGAACCGTGAGAGGGAAGAAGCGAGGTGAAAACTGGGAAAAGGGAGGACTCAAAACTCCCCAGGGCTAGGGAAGCCACTAGGGAAAACGGGGGAAGAAGAGCGAGACAAAAAAAAAAAAAAAAAAAAAAAAGTATTTGCTGAGGCTTTTATAAAAGTAAGTAAATAAACACCAAGATGTCATTGAGACCAAAAGAGGAGAAGATAAAGCAATGAAATAGTGGAGGAAAACACAGATTTGGGAAGAAAATACTGATGTAGCGTTCCTGAAACACCTGGAGCTTCCCTCTTTGCAAAACTTAAGTATTTAGGAGACTTTTAGTAGCAAAATCAATAAAACGTGCAAAATTCTTTAATCAGATTAAAGGGCAAAAGATAAAACCTTGTGATAAAAAAACTTTTACCACTCTTTACTGGAACAGTGGTAAAGAGAGCTCCCTGCTCATTTACCCAGAGATCGATTTTCCTTCTAGCTGAGGAAAAATGTGCTCTGTTTGAACAGAAGAAGGCACCGATGTCCCTTCTCCTGATTTAGAAATTTAGAATATAGGTTGTTTAAGCATAGTTAAAACTATAAAACAAATCCAAACTTTACAAATATTCAAAAGGAGGCAGATACCTACCTGTATATAAGAAAATAAATGAACTCTTGTTCAGAGATACTAGCTTGGAAAGATTGGTTTTGTTTCCAGTTGCTATGGCTAGTGAATCTATTTATGAATTTAACACTTATTTCAGATGTGATTTATTTAGTTGTTGAAGTGTCAAGTGTAGAGAATTTAAATAGAGGCTTTTGGATACGTTAGGTTTTTTACTGAAATAAAAAGAGATCAGTGATCTCTAGCTTTTCTCTCCTTTTTATCAAAGTATTGTCTGATTTACTACATTTCTGTTTTACATTAGTAAACATTTCATTACTGTTTACATTAGTGTCATCATATTTAGTTGTCTTTCCAAAAAAGAAACCCAAACATTACTGCATTTATTTCTGTAAAAACCTTACAGTGTGTGGCATGAAAATTGATTCTTCTGCCTATAAAATACAGCTTCGGAAACAAAATCCCTTCCTTGATGAAAACAATTTAGCTTTATCTAAATATTGATGGGATATTTAGATCCCATAAAGACCTCTCTGAAGGGACATTATCCTGCAGCTTTCTAAAGCCAGGGTTCTTGTGCCTTCATTTCAGAGAGTCAATTCTTCAGTGCTAAAACTGAAGTAAATGGGGAACTCTGTCTGATCTTTAGGTGATCTTTAAATTACACAGGGATGAAGGTGGTTGCATTTGTTTAACCGCAGACCTTCTCATGGTCTTTCCAAAGCTGGACTGAGGGTCACCTTTAGCTAACTGCTCTTTTGAGACTTGATTGCACATGGTTTTGTACCGGGATGGAGTCCTCTGTATTCATGTTGTATTTTTTTTTTAAGTGCTTTTCAGGCAGTTACCAGGACTCTGCTGCTGAATTACAACGTCAAAAGAAAGATTAGGGATTTTTTTTTTGGATTAAAATATATGAGAAACAGTCATGAACTCTGGTGTTTACTGTTGCTTGAAAGTCTGTAGAGGCAAAATGAGAGCCTTTTCAGCCCTTCAGAGAGTAATCTGGGAGATCTTTATTTTTAGTTTGGTTTGGGGCTTTATTTAAGAGCAAGAGCGTCTCTTTCCCCTGAGTGGGAGGCATCAGGCATAAAAATTGTATTCAAAAGCTTTTTTTTTTTGGTCACGTTTTCTCTTTCCTTCCAATTGCTTAATTTTCAGCATTTCAGTATCTGTTGTAATACACAGTGTCCTAATAATCCGTGGTGTTTTCAAGCAGAAATAGAGTAAGAAAATTAATTCATAGAAGTGCATTTGTTTTGCCTTATTATTTATTTGCAGCCAGCCTTTGGTAAGGACCAGTTTGTACTTGCAACTTTTGAGAATTCATTTTATGTGCCTGCTTGTCTGGAGCTTTGATTAATTCTCCCTTTCTTCTGTTTTGCAGGCTGCAGATAGAAGAGTCTTCTAAACCTGTCAGGCTATCGCAGCAACTAGACAAAGCTGTAACTACCAATTATAAACCTGTGGCTAATCATCAATATAACGTAAGTAACTTTTAACATTTGCACTTTCTCTCTTAGCCAGTGCAAGTCTGTGGGAGCTTGAGGATCTCCATGGACCTGCTATCCAGGCTCCCTGCAGTCCTTTTGCTCACGAGCAGGCTGCTATCAGTGGAAATGTTCCATGATCATCTGGTTTTCTTTTGGTTGTTTTTCCTGTAGTTTGTTTTCTGCATATCTTCTTTCTCTCTCAAGACCTACATCACCAAGGTTTACCAGTTCTAGCTCTCTTGTGTTACCTGATGTCAGGCACATCTACTTCCCTTACACCAGCTCTTTTTGATTTCTTCATTACATTTTTCCTCTTGTCTTTTCTGGAAATGTCGTTTTAAAATTTGAGGATGGAAGGCAGTTTTGCCTTTGGACTATGGGATGTGGAAGCACTCCTTTGGGCCAAATAAAGTGTCATGTGGAGGTGGGTGAATGACTATAAAAATATCCTGTCCTTTGCAGGGACTGATCTGAGTAGAAAAGAGTAAAAAACTGATAACTTTTAGCGTTTCATACCTTCACAGTACCTATTATCTGCATCATCAGCTTTGTCAATAATGCACCCACACCGCTGTGCCAGATCAGTTGATGTACACACACACTGTAATGGCCTTTTTCTTAAAGATCCTGAGTAATTCATATGAATGCATATATAACCGCTGGTACTGTTTAAATGTGAAGAATGTTAAGTCATACTAAAAATGAGTCACCATGTTAGTCATTTAAACTTTTACACTTTTTATTAGGAATTTGTTTACATAAAACAAATGACAATATACTGTGTGATATTTAAGCATTATTCTGAAAGGCAATCTATTTCCAAATAACCAAAAATAGGCATTTCTCTCTCATGGGACTCTTTGGAGTAGTTACTGTTTAAAGTCTGATCTATACACGGATGATCATAGCAGTATAATTCGTCAGCTAAGGGAATGACATTTAATCAACATAGTCACTCCAGTATATCCTGCTATGTAAATGCAGTTTTATATGAATATAAGGATTCTTTATGATGCTACTGTTATTTTCCTTCTTGAATTCTAGAATACGCTATAATGACACACAAATTTTGTTTATACTGTGAATCTCTCTCATTTTGTTGACACTAGCATTATAACTGTTAGTATAACTCGAAGGTAATTTGTGCATCTTTAATCTGGTTGCCAACTGATGTCTTGTTACCTTCATAAAACTTTAAGCCTTGTTTCGGATTCAGGGGATAACTGTGTGACCAGGTTCCTAAAAAAAACACAGGGCTTATGCATGCTAATGATAATATTTTTAATGATTATGTAACTGTCCATTTAATGGAAGTCTTTGGGGAACCTGTTAACTCTTCATACCTGGCTAAAGGCATTTCAGAGGGAGAGGTTTAATAGGACGTGCTCATGCTTGCATCAACAGACAACTTCCTGCAGCATCTTTCCTCTCATTATGCCTTCTGTCAAAGTTCAGGTGAGGTGGCTCGAAGGGCAGGAGGTTGGGAGACCAAGTCCACCAGCTTCATATTTTTCTGATGCTTTGAAGCTGCCGCTGCCTTTTTTAAAACGTACTTTTTAAATTTCAAAGCGCTTTTCCATTCAGAATGCTTCTAATTATGTGAAAGCTCTGTTGGGGACAACAATTTCCACAAGATGAAAACAGAAAGGTACAAGTAACCACACGAGGTGTCTGAAGATACTCAGTTATCTTCCAGAGGGTTTCTGAGGAATGGATCGGCACCTGATAACCTAAAAAGAGATAAAATTTCATGAAGGAAGAGATAATAGAATATTAAATGGGATTTAAATGTGATTGCTGCATGTGCCCCCAAAGATGATACAGAAGGAAGGGAAGGAATTAGCCATGTAGGCAGGAAACAGCAGTAGCTTGTTTGAATACCAATTTTGCCATTAGTAAGGAAAGGCAAAGTGAGTATTTTCTCTTCAAAAATTATATTAAATCTGTCTTTTTATTAGCAGAAATTTCAATTCCATTACAATGTATACCATAATTATAACTTAGCTTTTCTTCTAAGAGAAAGGGGCCTTCATTTTCTATACATCCATAAATGCTACACGTGTCTGCAGGGCTGCAGTGTTAATGTTCTTGCAGCTGGAATCTTCCAATTACTTCATTACATTTCATACTGCAGCAGAAAGTTTTCTGGGCCCAACTGGGCCATCACTTTCAGATCACGTCTTTCAGCAAATAAACAGAATATCTGGGTCATTACACAGGCAATAATCATACTTTTTTTTTCTTTAAATCATATTACTGTAGAGCAGAGTATTTATGACCTTAAGGGAACAAAATAATTGATTTTGTCCAACCATTTCCAATTACTTCCATGATAATAAGAATTATAAAAAATCATGGAGGAATGTATAATCAAATTAGGGACATCTATGGTTATTTTCAGTTTCCCTGAAATCTCCAGAAGACTCATACCAAGCCCTGGAGATTTTTTTGCCTGTGGAGCTCATGAGGGCCCGATGAACATCTACAGCTGCAGTATTGTGTGCTGTTGTACAGCTGCTTGAAGATGCAGATTCGCTCTCTAACTTGGATCTTTCTTTGGAATATTCTTTTGATAGTGGTGGTCCTCAAGGGTGATGAATTTCAGATTGAGATTAATGTTTTTGTTGGGACAGATTTAAAAAAAAAAAAAAGATAAGGAGGCTTTGCCCTCTTAGTTCCAATTTCCTCAGTTCCAATTTCAAGAATTTCAAGGAATATTGGGGGGGGGGGGGGAAAAAGATGCTTTAATAGTTTTCTTCAAACATCTTCGGATGTGGGTTTCACTTACCATGCTCTCCTTAGCACCTTTGTATTTTAACTGTCTGCCAAAGAAGAGTAATACCTAGTTCCTGTATTAGTGATACCTTCACGAAGGCAATTTTGGCAGATTTTCAACCAGCTTAGCAACATACTGTGAGGTAAACAAAGGGAGAAATGGATTTTTGTGTGAAGTCTTGCAGGGAGAAAGAAGCAACTTCTGCTCTTGACAGCTTATTCCAAAGTGGTCCTCCTTCCTTGAAACCAAATCATATTTTAATGCTTTTTTAAATTAAAAACTACACTGTTTTCAATAAATCTAAATCCGTTTGGAGTGTACATGCAATCTGTAACGTGGCGCTCAAAGTATTCCGAGCCTTCGGCATAAAAACATCTTGTTTACAAAGAAAATAGAAAGCAAGAAAATGAAAGGGTGCATTGTAAAGTGGCATGAACAGCGTATTCACAAGACAAAAGGAGAAAGCAACAGATACTACTTTGCCTTTTTGGAAACAGCATTTCACAAAGCTCTCTGTTTTTAGACAACAGTGGGAGCTGTTGCTGCAGTTGGAGGCAAATAGTAGTGTTGCTAATTAAAATATTGGCAAGTGGGACCCCGATTGCAGACTACGTGCTTTCAACAAAGGCAGGTTTTTGTCTTCAGTTTCATGGGAGCTGTTTTTATACATCAGTGATTTATGAATTTTAGAATATTCACATCGCAGGCATGCGGGGAATGCAAACACTCCTCGACAAGTTATTTTAGATCATCCAAAGAATGCAAAATAGAAAGTCCCACTGGGAAGAGTTCACTGAGCTGCTAAAATAACAGAGAAAGAAGGCGGCTGAGCGCTGGGCTTTACCAGCAAATAAAGGCTGCGTTTCAGTTAAAATTACTTTATTTTTCTTCTCATGGGGTGTTATTTAGATCATTAAGCTTTGACACCCAATCATGAACCAGTCCTGCCGGAGACATGGTGTCAGTGGGGATAATTTTGAGAATGTCTGTGTCATTGCTTTGTTCCTTTGTGTGGGAAGTATCAATGTAAAACACAAGGGCTTGTTCTCTGCCGTGGAAGTCAATTCTAGCTAAGCAGATTTGTCCCTATATCTCTTATTTGGAGAGGTAAAATAATACCTGGGATCTTTTTAATGGTTCTCGGAGATGGTTGTGATAATCACTTTAACTCACACCCATTGTACTTACCCTTTATTCCGATAACTGCCAAATACAGAGTAAATAGCCTCAACACTTACCGCTTGTTCTTGTTGCTTAAAAAGAAAGCAAAAAGCAAAAACAGGATGAGATTGGTTTCTTCCTTCATTTCAGGCTTAGCCTTCCACCCAAGGAGGCTGCAATTGGTTTCTGTTTCTGTTTTCATTCTTGTGCATTTTGGTTTTGTTGTTCGGAGAGGTAGAGAACTGCAGAAAGGTTGGTAGGAACAGAGATCACAGCTGTCCTCGTGGCAGAGCCCTGCAGCCTCTCGTCAGCTTCCACACCATGTCCTTCAGCTTTGATTTTTGAGTCAGAGAACAGATACCGGCCTCAGAGAGAGAGGGGAAAAAAGAAGTAGAAGAAAAAGTGGAGCTCTTCACACTGAAGAGTAGCCTCAGATATTGACAGGAAGCCAGAGCCCAGGCAAACCTCACAAACCGAGATGGCTTCTTCTTCCACTCTATCTTCTGGAAGCATCCGATGCCTCTTGGTAATTAAAATTAAAGGCCAGATCACCCATCTCCTCCTCTTGTAGAACTGTAGCATGTGCACAGGTTTAAAAAGGCCCTTGTGAAGCTAATGTCCCCAAGCTCCAGTGTCTCACAGCCACTGTCTTGGATGGAGTAGGTAGCTACATTGAACTCAGCACAGTGCTCTTGGTGGTGGTGATGGCTGGGACGGGGGTTTGTAGCTTCACCTGAAAATTCTGTGGGTCCATTTCTGCACCAGACTCTACGTTGATTAATCCTACAGGATAGTAATTCCTCTTTTATTTAGACTGTGAAGTACCAAAAGAAATAAAAACCTCCAGAATTTAATCCATGCTTTCCAATGACAACATGCAATTAAAAACTTTAGATTGTAGGCTGATACAGATATGACAAAATCATGGATATTTTATTTTATTTTATTTTATTTTATTTTATTTTATTTTATTTTATTTTATTTTATTTTATTTTATTTTACTTTACTTTACCTTACTTTATTTTATTTTATTTTATTTTATTTTATTTTATTTTATTTTATTTTATTTTATTTTATTTTATTTTATTTTTATCGTTTAAAATGCCTTCTAGTTGCCTAGAACTTTGCCTGCATACTTTGTTGTGCTGAGGATGCACAAGGATTGCAGCAAGTCCCTACACTTTTTATTGAGTTTGAGCACAACAGTGGTGAATGTGTAATTAGCAGATGATTGCTCTTGAGAATTGCTTTCTCTTGAAGGAAAAAAAAAAAAAGTGTTCATCATATACCTCTAAAGAATTTCTCATGTGAACCAGGTGTAAAATAAATATATTTTTAGCTCTGCCAACTTTGGCTGGTGTCAGATCAGTTGAAAATGAGATGCAAATGTCACCGAAAACCGGGAATAAACCTCTTAACACCAATGTAGTATTAAGAAGCAGGCATTCACTTTATTGCAGCGCTGGATGCACGGGGGATAGCTCCACCTATCGTGCATGCCCTAGGGGGTGCTTGCTAAAACTTTTATTTCTCTATTATCTACATATGCATTAAATTCTAGGAAATGATCATACATATTCATTCCATTTCTTGGAACTAATTACAATATACCCCACCCTCACACGCATGCGCCCTCTGTCCCTTTGGTGGTCTCTGGTGGTCTTTTTGAGACCCCCTGGTGGTCGTCTTCCCGGAAGYCACTTCCATATATGGCTTCATKTTGACTCAGTAGGCCCTGTTTTGGTTCTACTGTCCTGCTTCAGCCAGTTCCACAAAGATACGGTGGTCCTTATCTTCGTCTTCTACCGGTGTTTGCTCCTTTTGTCTGTATTCTCTCATAATATACCAGCAACAACAGTGAAAATATGGCCTTGGGCGCATCTTCTTCTGGGGTTTCTCATAACACAAAGACCTTTTGGCAATCAACTCGTAGGTTGGGTGTACCATTTATGTTGCAGGTAGCGGGCAAAGCAGGCACGTGGCATCCTATATTTCATGCAATCCATGGCCAATCTGCTTCTCCTTCCCAGTCATTGCATCGTTTCTTTCCTTGATTTATATAGGAATCCTTGTTACTGTGCCAGGATGTCGGCACTGATGCGTTTTGCAGCCTCAAATGTTTCATCCCTATACAAGCGTAGCCAGTAGGAGACTTTTAATGATTTGGGACTTTTCTTCCTGCTTTGGTGCCTGTGTGCCTGTAGAAATGTGCCCAGGAAAGATCTATCCAAGTGCTCTGCTGGTGAAGTTGCAAGGCAGGTAGCCCTGAACACACCTCCAGCCGTGCTGCCTGGTAAATAACCAGTGTAGAGTCAGGAAAATGTCCTGTGCTCTTTATCTGCCTAGTGATTTTCTGTTGTAATAGTGGATTCTGATCGTACTTGGGATTTGTGGTTTTGGCAGAGTAGCCTTGTTCAGATCTTTTTTTTTCCCTTTTTTTTTAACATCCTTGTAGTTATACTGCATGTATATGCAGTACATGTCAACACAGTCTACTTGCATTATACCTCTTTAAGCGTAAATAGTGAGACTCTCCTCATAGAAAAGAGAAACGGAATCCACATCAGGGCTTCTAAACCTCACCATTAAAATGTTTTCAAGGGCAGCAGAGAGACCTAATGAGTTGTCAGTTGGACTTGGAGAGGAAATATTTCCATATGCTATTATTTATAGCAAAGCAGTGTCCTAGATTTATGCTTCTCTGCTTTCTGCAGAGTGTTTCTGCTATGGATCAAGGCAGCCGAGAGGATGCTACGTGGAGCTGTGTGACTTGATGCTGCAGTTTGGTCTTGTTGCAAAGCTGGTGCCTTTTCACACATCTGCTTTTGACCTGCAGACGCTCCATTAAAGAATCATTAGGATACAATCAATCACAAAAATGCATTGCTGGGTGAAAGTCAGTTGTGTGGGTTTGTGCAGAGAGGTTGTGTCTGAGGCTGGAAAGGCAGAAGAGCATTTGGGTACATGAGCTGATGGGCCTCACATTGTGAGCAGAAGCACCAAACCAGGCTATAGGTTGGTTCTTCCTCCATTTAATGACATGAAGCAGGATCTGAAAGAGGGATTTTACTGGCCAGGGGCTTATGAGCAAGGGTGGTAGTTGGTAGCCTCTTTGGACCAACAGCAGGAGACGGGAGCTTAGCAACCCTCGGAGCGTAGGATGGTGTTGACTGGAGATGAGCTGTGGGAAAAATTGAATTGTGCCGTAAAATTAATGTCTCTATGAGAAATAAGATTTTTAGCATCCTGTAGAAATATGAATTTTCCTTGATACCCTTCTTCTCTGAATGTTTTCCTTGAGGATAAGGTTTGAGATAACAGAGGCAGAATGATTCTTTGACAAAAATATTACCCCACTGACAACCAGGCCATTACTGGCTGTGTGACCGTTGTATTGCTCTGCTTTGGATCCATCCATGTAGTTTCCTTGAAAACATTTGGTGGTTACATTAAATATATTAAATTCTGGGACACAGAGGGTGGCTCCAAGGAGTTTTGATAGTTCTGTTGAGGGATTTGTTGAGGTTGTTGGGGTCACAAGTTGGCAAATTTTGCATTTGTTGCTCTGCTGTGCTTGGAGTTTGGTCTTTGCTGTGGGTGAAAATCTTGCCTCTGATGATGTGCATGGTAAAATGCAAGAAGTGTTGGAGGTTCATGGATATAAAAGCTTTGCAAAAATGTCATCAAGATACTATCATCTTTTACAGGTTGTAGTATCTTAATAGTTTTTCATATATATTTTAATAGAGAGTGGAAGCTGCCAACGAGGTGCTTGGTGGTTTTTTACTTTCTTTCTTACTTTCTTACACTTACTTACCTGTTATTTGGAGTTTTCTTCTTGGACTGTAGTGAGCTCATCTGTGCTGCTCAGCTTTCTCCTGAAGAGATGCCACCCGTTTGCTGGGGTGTCTTTGCATGGTTGGGAGTGTGTTTGTATCCGTGGTGGTTGTCCTGGGATTCTCCCGGGAACAGGGGAGGTGGTGTCTGCAGGTGATGTCCCAGTATCTGTGAGCGCTTTGGATAGTTAGGGTGGAGATTGTGGGTAGAGCTGTGCCATTTTGTGGCTTTTCCTGAACATGGTGATTTGTAAGATGCTGAGTTTAGTACTGTGGAACTTCCAAAGTTGATATCAAGAGAAGAAAAATGAAAATACCAGCTCAGTTCAGATTCCTGTACTGCTCTTAATTTTATCCTCAGGCTTAGACACATTTTACAGGTTTCTGTACACATTTTACACATTTCTGTGTTCTTTTTTTTTGCTTTTTTTTTTTTTTTAATCTTGTTAAAACAGAGGAATTACCCAAAAAGCTCATTGTGCTGAGCACAAAATGCTTAGTTTATGTTCATAAAAGAGAATGTGAGTACCCAAGAGAAAACTTTCCAGATGCAAAGCACTGAGTCATTAAGTAGTGTTTTATTAAAGAGTTTTTTTGTGTCTCGCTGTTCAGCACTGAGAATTATCTAGTGTTACATATGAATGTCTGTAAAACGTGTTTTGTATCTAATTGATAGATTGAATATGAAAAGAAAAAGAAAGAAGATGGCAAGCGGGCTCGAGCTGATAAACAGCAAGTGCTGGACATGCTTTTTTCGGCCTTTGAGAAACATCAGTATTACAACATTAAAGACCTGGTGGACATAACCAAACAGCCGGTGGTATGTATTGGCAATCTTGTGATATAATTTTCAGTAGTTATTATTATGTGTATTTTCCATGTTTAACACATAGTTTAATACGTATCTCATGCCTTTGAAATAAATCTCTAAACATTGCACCGAATGGAAATGCCCAACGTTCTGCACTGTGATAGGATGCATAGTTTGTTGCAGTGGGCTTGCTGTCTCTTGGCAAAATAGGCTTAAGTAACTTGAAAGATCTTTATCTTATTTGAGTTCTATTTAATAGTAGAAATGAAATTCTCTAGTGCTCCAATGTGTCCAATACTACTTGTGCCCTTACTGAAGTAATTACCTGGTTCTCCTGCTGTCATCATGTGAGTACTTTGGCAGGTGGGTCTGGCCTTTGCCTTGGCACAGGGAAAGGGGTTATTCTCATCTGTGGGTCTGGAAAACTTTGGTGCTGTCTCAGAGTTCATAAAATGAGTATTAAATGACACATTATCCATGCCAGGAGCTCAGGCATCATGCTAAGACCCTCCAGATCAATAGATCTCCTTTACAGATAGAAGGAATTGAGGAGCAGAAATTTGGAGTCTGATGTTCAGGAAAATTGTGTTGTTTTGGTTTTAAACCCTGTTTTGATACCTGAGCTGGAAGATGCATGTATTACATGTGTATAATACATGCTCATGTCATGGGTCTGTTACCTGCAGTACTTGTCAGGCCCTTCGCCCACAAACACTCTTTTCCCAGCTCTTTCCCATCCTTCCCACCCAGCCTTCCTCGAGCAGACCAGGTTTTCCAAAGATTTAAAGATTTACCCTCCTTAAACCTGTTCCACCTTCATCTCCCAGCTCCCTTCCTGTGCTCCTGCATCCAGAGTGAAACTGGCCTCGTCGTTATCAGTCAGCTGGTTTCTGTTGAACAGCACTTGTATGAGCTGGGCTGGCTTGTTGTCTCCTGTGCTTTTGGTATCATTGCTGCTTTTGACTTTTTTCCCACTACTCACTTTGATATCTAGCCACACAACACAGCTGGGGTCTTGAGAAAACTTAATTATGTTTGAGTTTAAATTAACTGACAATTTCAAAGTAGAGGGGAGGCAGATGAAGGAACAGTGACAACTGGATTACAGAAACTCTGATTCCTTTGGAAATGATAGGAAAAAAATGGAAATACCAGTTTTGCTCAAATTCATATTAAGGATGAAGTGGATCTATATCAGAGGATTTTAATTAAATAAAACATGTAATCCATTCGCCTGAGAAGCTGCACAAAGATATTACTCAATTCAGATACTTGTAGGTCCCCTTTGCTCTAGTACTTTAGCATAAACTGTCAAATAATGTATTATCTCTTTCATTTATCTACCTAAAGAGCCAGCTCTTTATCTGTGTGGCAGGGAAGGCTTGTAGGACATGGAAGCTGAGGAGGAAGAAGGAATAGGAGGAACCTATAGAGGAATGGCAATAAAATTCCAGAATTTTTTTAATAGAAGATATGTGTTACAGTCAATATCCTGATGTATGTAGGTGCAGATTTATCTTATCTAAAATAACAGAGGGCCACCAGCTAGAAAAATTGTCACCCTCAACTCCCACTTAAGCCATCAAGGGGGAATAAAAGAATCTTTTTCTCCTGTGTTGTGATTTGCCTCTTGGATATACTTGTCTTTCTGCATTGACTCAAAAGGAGCCTGGAAAAAAATGGGCCTCTGACAGAAGTTTCTTCTTTAACACCAAGAGCTGGGCAAAACAAATCAAATTTTTGTCTTCTTCACTGCCTTCGGGGATTGGACAGCATAGGGTAGTTTTGTCTTCTGTGTTTATAAAATGCTTCACATTAATGCTGTTATTGCATTTACGATAAATTTCCATTTCAATCTATACCAAGTGCTCACTGCCGCCTTCATGATACATTCCTGAATAGGCGTATTCTGCCCGTAGCAGCATGGCTGTGATTTATGCACTTTCATCTTAGCCACCCTAACCATTACTTTCAACCACTAGAGTAATTCAGACACATTAAAAGGAAATCATATACTAATTTAACCCAATATTATGTTGTATTCAGGCCATATTTTTGCATCTCGGTTTCTCATTTGGTAAGTCCCCAAGTTTGTTTTTTGCCCATCTAGTTTCTTCACAATGAGATACTGGGAGAAGATGAATGAACTAAATCCTCTTCCTGATGTCTTTCCTTGGTCATTTGACAGCCAATATGGTGGTGAATTCAAAATTGTCTCTCAATGCATCACCTACCACTCATCTAAACCTACCCTAATTTACAAAACTGGGTTCCCCTTAAAAAACATCTATGGGGAGCTGCTGGTGGCTTTCATTTCCATTTAAAAAATACTACCTGTAGTTTCCTGAAGTGTAGCCTGTTTTCACTCAGGGTACAGGGTTTCTTCATGCTGCAGACTTTATCCTCTGGTATATAGAACTTTTTCTTTTCTGAGAATAAAGTATCTGCTCCTAATGCCCCCGCTGACATTATTGTTCACAGAGCTGCTATACCTCATAAAAAATATCTAATAATAAAATGCCAAATGGTCGAATATGCATGTTTTCCCCATGCTGCAAAGGCCTGGCTGTTAATTAATCTCTGCTGAAGTGTTCTCTGCTTTGTTTTCTGTCATAGTGTCTAAGATTTCCTGGGTATGTAATTTCTCCTCTGATTTTCTGAGTATTGAGGTTATTTTCAGAATTGAGGGGGAAATAAAAGCGCTGCTGCTGTCTCTCCAGCCCCCATTACAGTGAAGTTCTGGGTGCTTGCACCGCTGGCTAGTGATATTTAAAATGCACTTTCTAAAGGAGATAAAATCTTTTTCATGAAGTAACAAATAAATGAGGGCATTTTTTCCTGCATCATGGTAAATGTAAATAGTAAATGAAATCCTTGCTACAGAATATACTGAAAGTTACACAGGAAGGAACTGTTGTCGTTCCTTTGAGATCCTGCAATCACAAAATAAGTCTGTTCTGCATGCAAACCACAGCCTTATCAGGGGAAGATGCGTTTTGTGTGTTTTTAGCAAAAAAAAAATGAGCATTTGTGGTGGCAGGCGAATCTCTTGTCATCTGCCCGGAGGTAGATGCTGAGACCTCCATAGAAATCATGGCAGTAATTCTGGATTTGGACTGAGAACTGGCTTTTTTTAATATGAGTAATCAAATATTTATAAAGAATGGAAGCAGTGGTCTAATATGAACTGCATGTTTTCAAAACAGTGTCTGCCTGCAGTTTTTTCTTACATTTAAGCTTTGACTAGTTGGTTATCCTAAATATGGTATAAGGAGAGGTGTGAGAGAACAGAGGATGCCTTAAATAGGCCCACAGATTATCCCCAGGCTTCATTTCTGTCTTACAGCTACATGTGTATAGATGTTACAGAATCCCATTCCCAGAGGAGATCGTGGCTCCCTCTTTAGCATTCAGCAGAGCCCAAAATGCAGCATTTCTGTGAAGAAAGTGGAAATGAGCAGTTTCTCTCGATGGAAAGACAATATTTCCTATCACAGCACCCGACTGAGCAGTGTACTTCAAGATGCTTTTGAAACACTATCTGTTGCCCACACATCTTTCTTTGTCCTAGCATATATACACGTATATATAAGATGCCTCAGTTCTTTTTCTTGCAATGCTGCAGTGAATTTGCTGACGTATCTTTGTAACCGTTTCAGTATCAGTCTTTAAAGCGGACTTTAAAGCGGGCCAAGTGCGTTAAACTGGACACCCTCAAGCGTGTCCTTCAAAAATGATCCCCACAGTCTTGACCTCTGCTGGCTTATGATGACATTACAGGCAAAAAAAAAAAAAAAGCCCCAAAAGGGGTAAAAACTCAACCCCCTTGCTTATAGCGTTAAAAGAGTTGCAGGAGTAGTGCCCTCGTGCCTGCCGTGGAGCTCCCGCTTCCTGGGAGAGCTGGCAGGAAAATGCCACGCACCGCGGCCACCCCAGGCCTTGCTGTCCAGCCAGAGTGGCAATGTCGCGACTTGGAGCTGTCGTGGTCACCGTTGCCCCGTGAGGCTGGCGGCTTTTCCCTGGAATGGCCCCTCGGAGGCGCCGCGGCGCCGTTCCCGCCGCGCCTGAGATGGCGGCCGCGGCTACGGGCCCCGCGCGACCTCCGTGAGCGGCCCTGGCCGGGGCGGAGGGACTGTCCCGGTTTCGGTGACAGCGCCCCAAGGGCAGAGCAGCCTCTAAGGCGCCTTAAAACTCTCCATCTTGATCCCCTGCTGCCCTCTGCCGGATTGGTGTCGAAGGCGCGAGGAGCCTCCCTGGCCCTCCAGGTTCCCTCGAGGTTTCAGAGCCTGAAGCACAAAACAGTCCGCAAGTGCAGCCTGCTCTGCTGGCTTTCCCTACCCAAAAGACAAAGGGATCCTTCAAACAGCCCTCTCTGACATGGGGTAGCCATTTCATGGATCACAGAATGGTTAAGGCTGGAAGGGACCTCCAGAGGTGACCTAGTCCAGCCGCTGCACACGCAGCGTCACCCAGAGCACGGGGCACAGGGCTGCGTCCAAGCGGGTGTGAGACGTAAGAGTTCAAGATTAAGATTTAAGAGTTGTTTCACTATGCAAGTATAAATGATAGGATATAAAAAAAACAGAGTGACTAGAGCAGCTATGAGTTTCTTTAAAAGAGAACTTTTTTTTTGCTGACTGAAAACATATCCTCCTAGAATTAAATTTATTTTGCACTGTTGCTATTTGGTGAAAATGAGAAGAGTATAAAGAAGAGTTTGGGCAATCTGCCTTTTTTCTTTTTTCTACATTATGTCATCAAGAAATAACTGCTTTTGTATCAGTTGGGCTAATAGCATTTAGCGCAATTGTAGATACAGAAAATACGAAGTTTCCAGTAGCTCCAGCCCAATACAGGCTCTCGGAGGGGATTAAATTGCCCAAAATAAAGCAATTGCCCAAACTAAGGCAATTATAAATTTAATTTTGAGATTCTCCAACTGTGGTCTGCGGTTGCCATGGCAACCCGCTGAAGCCCGTGCTGATTAATATTTAAACAAACAAACAGGCAAATGCTTCTTAAAAAAAAAAAAAAAGGCAAATTAACTGATGTTTATGATAAAGAGTGATATTTGTGGGCTGTCTCGTGTCAAAGGTTATACTACTGGTTATCGTGGCTTTTCCACCACCCCCTTTTTTCACTTAAAACTGGCCTGAATATATGAATACATTGGAGGATTCTCTGGCATCGACTCAGCATTCCTCTAAAAAGGAGGCGATAATGAAAAGCTTAAAGTCTACGAGGCAGCGGAAAATCCGAGAGCCTGGGGACTGCTGGGCCTGGAATTGGGCGCGGAATGAGTCGGTGAGGCCCAGGGTGGAGAAGGTCTGAGGTGGAGAGGCCACTCTGCTGCCCCGGTGTGAGGTGTTAGCAGTAACTACCCATGGGACAACAGGAAAGGGTCTTGGGTGGCACCAGGGGAGGTTCAGGTTGGATATCGGGAACCATTCTTCACAGAAGGAGCGGTGAAGCATTGGAACAGGCTGCCCGGAGGAGTGGTGGTCCCCAGCATGCTCAGGAAACGTTTAGATAGAAATCCACTTTCGCATGTGGGTTTAACAGGCATGGTGGTGAGGGGTTTGCAGGTGGTCTTGGTGACCTTAAAGGTCTTTTCCAAGCATAATGATTCTGTGATTCTGTGAGAGATAATGAGTGGTTTTTTGGTGATCCTCTTGCTCCAGGATGTGTCTCTTCGCCATGCCCGTGGCCGGCACGCAGGCCCAGGGTTCGGGCATTCCCCTCCCAGCCTCCAGTTCCACTGTTAAACCAGTGCTCCTTTAATCTGGAACATCATCTCAGGAATGAAAATCTTGCATGTTCACTCAAAATGTAAGCAGAGAGTGATTATCGCCCCACTAACCAGGTAGCGTGTCAGGAGTTATGGCACTTCAGCTGTACCGAGGGACATGTTATTGCTGCCCATCACGTTCGGTGCTGTTTTCATTTGCAAAGTAGAGTCAAGCAAGGCGGACAGGAGATCTGTGTGGATGGGCAAGGAGCTCTTGAGAAAGCTTAATGAGAAAAAGAGAGCTTAAGTAATGTGGAAGAAGGACCCAACCACAGGGCAAGGATATAGGAACATTGTCAAGGAATGCAGGGATGTGGTGAGTAAGGCCAAGGCCCGTTTGGAATTAGAGTTAGCAAGGGATGTCAGGAACAACGGGAAGGGATTTTGCAAATGAAATTCGAGAGGAAGACTTGAGAAGATGTGGGCCTGCTGCTGAATGGGGAGGGAGAGTGCCTTGCTGACAGAGGATGCCGAGAAGGCAGAGTTACTAAATGCCTTCTTTGCCTCTGTCTTTACTGCTAAGGCTGGTCCCCATGAATTGGAAGGACTCAGGTGAAAGAAATAAATGGGAAAGAGGAAGACCTTCCGCCGGTTGAGAAGAATTGGGTTAGGGATCACTTAGGCAAACTGGCCACCCATAAATCTATGGGCCCAGATGGGATGCACCCAAGAGTGCTGAGGGAATTGGCCGAGGTTATTGCTCAACCGCTCTCCATCCTCTTGGAGAGGTCCTGGAGAGCAGGGGAGGTGCCCGAGGACTGGAAGAGAGCCAACATCACTCCAGTCTTCAGAAAGGGCAAGAGGGAGGAGCCGGGAAATTTCACGCTGGTCAGCCTCACCTCCATCTCTGGTAAGATGACGGAGCAGCTCATCCTAGAGAGCATCTCTAGGCATGTCAAGGTGAAGGAGGTGATCAGGAGTAGTCAGCATGGATTCACCAAGGGCAAGTCATGTTTGACCAACCTGATACCTTCTATGATGGGATAACTGGCCGGCTGGACGAGGGGAGAGCCGTGGGTGTTGTCTACCTTGACTTCAGCAAGGCTTTCAACACCGTCTCTCATAACATCCTCATACGGAAGCTCCGGGACAGTGGTCTGGATGAGTGCACAGTGAGGTGGATCGAGAACTGCCTGGATGGCAGAGCTCAGAGGGTGGTGATAAATGAGGCTGAACCTAGTTGGAGGCCTGTGGCCAGTGGTGTCCCAGAGGGGTCAGTACTGGGCCCGGTGCTTTTCAACCTGTTCATCAATGACCTGGACGAGGGCACGGAGCGCACCCTGAGCAAGTTTGTGGACGATGTGAAGCTGGGTGGAGTGGCCGACACTCCGGAGGGCTGTGCTGCCGTCCAGAGGGACCTGGACAGGCTGGTGAGTTGGGCAGAGAGGAACCTCATGAGGTTCAAAAAGGACAAGTGCAGGGTCCTGCACCTGGGGAGGAGTAACCCCAGGCACCAGTACAGATTAGGGTTGACCTACTGGAAAGCACCTCCACAGAGAAGGACCTGGGAACCCTGGTGGACACCAAGTTAACCATGAGTGAGCAGTGTGCCCTCGTGGCCAAGAAGGCCAATGGGATCCTGGCTGCATCAGGAGGATGTTGCCAGCAGGTCAAGGGAGGGGATCCTGCCCCTCTGCTCAGCTCTGGTGAGGCCGCACCTGGAGTATTGGGGGCAGCTCTGGGCTCCCCAGGACAAGAGAGATGTGGAGCTCCTAGAGAGGGTCCAGCGGAGAGTGACAAAGATGATTAAGGAACTGGAACATCTCTCATATGAGGAGGCTGAGTGAGCTCGGCCTGTTTTCCCTAGAGAAGAGAAGGCTGAGGGGGGATCTGATCAATGTGTATAAGTACCTGAAGGGGGGATGTAGGGAGGATGGGGCCAAGCTCTTCTCAGCGGTGGCCAGTGACGGGACAAGGGGCAATGGGTGTAAGTGGAAACACAGGCAGTTCCATCTCCTTATGAGGAAGAACTTCTTTCCTATGAGGGTGACAGAGCCCTGGCACAGGCTGCCCAGGGAGGCTGTGGAGTCTCCTCCTCTGGAGATCTCCCAAACCCGCCTGGCTGCCACCCTGTGCCCCGTGCTCTGGGTGTCCCTGCTGGAGCAGGGGGTTGGACTGGATGATCTCTAGAGGTCCCTTCCAACCTCAACCATCCTGTGATTCTGTGATTCAGTAAATGTGATTGTGGAATGACAAATTGTGGCATCAGCTTATAAGTAACATCTGTGGTAATTGCCTGTCATTATAATTTGTTATTTTGTTTCCTTTCAGATATACTTGAAAGAAATTTTGAGAGAAATTGGCATCTACAACGTGAAGGGCACCCACAAAAACACATGGGAGCTGAAGCCAGAATACAGACATTATCAAGGAGAAGACAAGAGCGATTAACGAAACTGTTGATGAAGTAAAAGAGAACTGTAGATTAGTGTGATTGCACTGAGGAAACCGCTGTGGGTTTACAGACAGGACTGAGCACAGCTCAATTCTGCCGGATTACCTTTACATTAAACCGACTGATACTTTGTAATTTCCTCTAGCTTCATTTTTTTTCAAAGGAATATTTCTTGGAAGTTTCTATAAGTGTCTTTGGACTAAAGAAATATTTATAAAATAAACAGCTACTAGATTTATCTTTACTAGAGATCTTTTGAGTTCTGATTTGATATTTTTATTAATGTAGCTTTGTGGGTTTTTCTGTAAGCCTTGGTATCTCTGAAGGAAAACATGTCCCTGAGGAAGCCATAACCTTGCGCTTTCGCATTCCAGTGGTACCAGGTTTATTTGCTCCTTCCTGCTGTGACCTGCGGAGGCTCCGTGGAGGCAGCACGCGGAGCTGCCCTGTCCTGCCCGCGCCGCTGGGGAGCTATGGACACTGCGGATCAGGCTTTGGGAAAAAGCCACGGTGCTCACCGCAGCCCTCAGGCTTCATGGGAACACAGGGAAACATATACAAAAAAGGGGGGAAAAAAGGGAGAAAAGGGGGGGAAAAAAAAGGCTGTTTGGTCATGGGAACACAGGAAAACACATACAAAAAAAAAGGAAAAAAAAGAGGAAAAAAGGGAAAAAAAGGGAAAAAAAGCAAAGGTTCTTTGACATGTGAGTCAGTGAGGAAGATGATCTCTTCCATGTAATTGCGGAGAAAAAATAAATTAATTTTCTGCCTATTAGGTGCATGGAGGAACAGATACATCTTTTGTCTTTTTTAAAATGTTACCGATGTTTCAGCATATGAATAAAAGCGGTATTTTAATTTGTACCATGTCATGATCTGTGTTATTGATGGAAAATACGTTATGATTTAGATAAGGGAGGTATGAAGCTTTTTAAAACCTTGCTTTTATCGTGGCTTTGCACTTGGGTTTCCGTATGGGAAAGGTTCCATCTTTGAGGAAGTTCCATGTGTCTGTTTTCCTCGTTTTCAAAAGGGGTCTTGTATCCAGCCCCTCATGGAGGGGGAGGGAAGGGAGGAACTGGGATGAGATGACTTAGTTCCTTAAACTTTTAGCTGAAAAAAATAAGAAACAGTGAGGAAGGCACCAGTACTGCCCTAAGCCTGCCAACAAAATAGTGAGATTTTAGGACACGACCGTCACCTTCTCTCGTGTCCCTCAGATGTGCCTGTCACTTATGCGCATGGTAATAAAATAATGGGAGTATTTTCAAAGCAAATATTCCACTATTGGTGCACTTTGAAGCAAGAAAAGCATAGGAGGGGATGGGAATGCCTTGGAAGATTGGTAAAACAACCAACCCGGTCCTCTTTATGCGTAAAACCCACATTTTTTGGACATAGATCTTGCTTTTGTGCAAGTTCACTGCTTCACAACTTGTCTTCAGTTGAGACAGACATAATTAGTCAAAATATCACATAGTGCCGTAAATACCTAAGTAGAAATAGGTGTTTCATTGACCTGCTGGCTGCCTTTGGACAGAAGAAAGAAGCTTTCCCTGGAAGTATTAAGAAAGGGCGTAGAGCATTTTTTTTCTTTTATCTAAAATGAATTTTTATGGACATCATTGAAAACATGGAGAATACTAGAAGTAAACTATCAGTGGAGTCAGCCAACAAGGAGGAAAACGCTTGAGGAACCTGCAGTACCTCTTGCAGGCTTCCCAGCAGGCAACATTACTGGTTTTCGGGACAAAATGAGAAGCAGGAGGATGAGGAAACTCCTTTGCAAAGGAATCTATCAAACTTCAGGCCATCATCAACTGATTTTGAAGGCTTCGTAACTTGTTAGTGGGAACTGGGCTTTGAGCGGTTTCAAAAGCTGCTCCTGGCCCTGTGCTGACCTGTGATGCCACCCGTGCCTTGAGCTTAACAGGGCTAAATCAAGGGGTTTATATCTATTTTTTTTTAGCAAAGGGGCTCCCATACACCCAAGTGTGGATTCCATGGGAAGCCGTACCCCATGTCCCAGCCAGGAATAGCCCTGGGAAGAAGCTATTTGTGGCTGCAGTTGGGGTGGGAGTCGCCACGAGTCAGTCCAGCACAACTCAACCATCGGTGACTTAGTGATGGGAGCAGAGCAACTTGCAGCTTTTTAAACATTTTTCCTTTTTTTTTTTTTTTGGTTTTGAAATTCTTTCTTTAGCAACCACCATTTATGGTTTATGGTATGACTTAGGTTTATGGTAAGCCCTGCCTGTCCTAGACCTAAGCCACATGAAAATTAAAATAAAATAAAATAAAATAAAATAAAATAAAATAAAATAAAATAAAATAAAATAAAATAAAATAAAATAAAATAAAATAAAATAAAATAAAATCCCCAGCACTCCAGCTTGCACAGCTGGGTGCATAAACAGGCTAACAGGGGCATGTGGCCTTTGTGGCCACCAGCTTGTAGCCTGGCGCGCACCGACTGCGTGGGCTAGCGAGGGGGGTTTAAGAGGTGGCAAGAAGAGGGCAAAGAGGGAGGTTTAAGAGGGCCAGAAGGGAGGGTTAGCCAAAAGGGAGGCCGAGCAGGACGCGTACCCCGAGGCATTGTGTTCACACGCACCAAGGGCGCCCCCCAAGCGGGGAGGAGGCCTCTCGGCCCCGCGGTTCGTGCTCCTCCTCATGGCCTTCTCCAGGCCTCCTGGTCCTCGTGCTCCTCATGGACCGGCCTCCCCTCCCCTGCAAGCAGAGTTCCAGGGCTGCCCAGCGGCGCCATCCAGCCTCCCTGGAGCGGGGCTCGCGGCCTGGCGCTGCACAGCGGCCACACCGGCCCTTTGCCGTTGTCGACCTGCTCGTTAGGCTCATTTATAGATCTGTTAAACAGGGGTGCAAAGACCCCTCTGCTCAGCATGGGGTGCAGCCCAGCAGCTGCTGCACTCGTTTGCTGCCTGAAGCCTTGGCAAGGTTTGCAGTCCCGGCCTAACTCACCGAGCAGCCACATAAAGGGGACAGAGCAGTCACTCTGTCCTGGTTAAGCCAGGCCTCCTCCCCGGGGCTGGAACAGACTCCCAGTGAATTAATCCGGACTCAAGGACGCCTCCCTCCTTCCTGCTGCTTCCGCAGAGGGAAGCCTTCATCCGCACACGTGCAGCTGGCTCAAGACCCTTCCTTGCGGCAGCTTAAGGAAATGCACGCGCAGATTGAGCCCTCACAGAACCAATAGAGGGTATGTTTAAAAGAGATGGCAACCTCAGAGATAACCATTCTGGGCACCCTCTGCTGCCACCTCCACAGACAGTCTCCCTCTCGCTGCCTCCAGCCTATCTCACCCCTGCCGCTGCCTCTACCTCAGCCCTCAGGCAGGGCAAATGCCTCACGCAGCCCTGACACGCTGCTAAAAATACAATAAAGTCTAAGGCTGGAAGCCTCTATCAACATACGATGTGTGGGTCATGCCCTTCCCATTTTAGATAGAGCAGTAGTGCTATAGGAGATGTGGCTAATGGGGAAGAGAGTTCACAGCCATCTCCCTTAAATAAGCCCAGCTTTGCTCAGGGCAGGCAGCCACTGCTTTATTGTCGTGCACCAGCAGCAAACCCTGCTTTTCCCTAACACAAGCACTACAAAAGCATTTGTATTCCTTTATTCAATCCAGGCTGCCACGAGACCAGACAGGTAGAAAGCGCAAGGAACCAGTTACTGTTGCATCACTTCAAGAACCAGAAGAGCAACGGACATTTGCTCCAGGTCTGTCAAACAGATGCATTGCCCAGGGTGAAACACAGCTGGAACAGCAGCAAATCACAAACATCTGGGTATACCTTAAACCCAGACATGCCCCTTCTATACAATTAATAATCCCAGGAAAGGTCCATACTCTTCAGCCGTTTCTCTCCCTGAATTAAAAGCACGGAGAGAGTTGAAGTTACAGGACTCGAGTTTATTTAATCCACTCCTGAATACTGCCAACTCCAAAGGAACTGGTACCACAGCTGGGCATGTGGTTTAGGCAGTGGAAAAGCTCATATTTCCCCCCACTATGTTCCCACTAGCTGTGCTCAGAGGCAGAGCGCCGCTGGTGGACTCTTGCTCCAGGATTAAGGCAGAAAGATTGAAGAAGCCATACTGTAACTGTGGAGAGGCTCAAAGATCCTTGTCTGACAAAGAAGCTCAGCCAGCACCCAGCTTGATTAGCACATATTCCGTTTTTTAAAAAATTAACTTTGATACCTCTTCCAGAGAGAGAAGTCTGTACAATTGAGAGAGATGAACAAGGTCCACTTCCTTCTGATGGCACTTCTTGGAGCTCTGCCTCATTCACCTCAGCCTGCTCTTGCACACCAGGGCCACATGTAGAAACTGCATGATCTGAAGACAGCCAAGTTGCAGTGACCTAGGACCAGGCTACACTAGTCGCAGTATTAGATCCTTGGGTAAACATCTTGCAGTAACCTGTCCTGGGAAGTCACCTTAAGAAACACACTAGACCAAAAGGCATCACCTAGAATGGGTTTAAATGAGTTTTATTTTAGACAACCTACATGACAGATGTTTGGTTTTGTTTTCTTTTTAAAACAATGCCTCCACTCCAAATCAGGGTCAAAATAAGTGAATAAAGCTCAAGATGACATCAGTCCAGTTGTTAGACATTGCCGAGTCCTGGTGTTGTGCTGATGAAGAAGAAACAGCAGCCAGCTATGAAGACAGGTGATCCAAGATTCAGACTGTTGATTCGTTACTGTAACGAGAGCAGCAGTAGTTAGTGGGGGCCCACGACGGTCATGCTAAACTTCTGTAACTTCATTTGTGTGTTCCCTAATTCAATCTGAGCTGCCACACAGCCAGGCAGGCAGAAAGCGCAAGGAAGTTATTTTTGCATCTCAGTGCAAACCAGAGAGCAACAGGACAATTGCTCATGGTCTATCAGAGGATGCTGAGCACCAAGCAGAACACTAACACCAGCCTTTGGTCAAGCCAGAGAGAATGTGCATTCACATCCTGCCTGCCTGACACAACGTTTTACTTCTCCCCTTGAATAACAGCACGTTCTAAATTGGTATTAACGCTTATGACTTACGTTCTGTTTCTCACGAGTTGAATCATGAATCTGTAGCACATTTTTTTTCCCTCCTGAAATGGCCTACTTGTAATTAACTCATCCAGAAATAAATGTGATTATCCTAATTACACAGCCAAAACGTCTGCCCAAGCATGAGAGCTGCCCATATGCTCTGCTCAAAAGAGCTGCTTCCAGGTTACTGCATGTTTCAGGGACCGTGACAGATACCACACTCAAGTCAGGCTGCAGGAGCTGGTGTGTCTATTTTTGCCAATAAAATTGTGTTCCTCTAGCGGCTTATTGTGCCCAACTGCAAGTTGGTTCATCTTTAGATGACATGCATACCAAAAAGCCTGCAAGAGGCTTGACGGATAAATTTAGCTGGCTATAAACAGGCCTCATTAGTCTGCAAAACCTGGGCAGGGCAAGACTGGGGACCCCACACTGCTAGTCACCAGTGAATCACACAGCTCTCCAAAATAAGGCAAGAACATTCACATCGAAAATGTGAACATTCAACCATCCAAAACCTGCACACTGGTTCACTGCAATCACATTCAAATCCAGAGTAATTAAGACAAGGCAGACAGCTGGAGATAGAATAAGGTTAAGCATCCTGTCATGAATCACTGTGCTCAAATTTAGGGCAATATTTAAACAGACTGCTCCCGTGTAATAAAATAAGGCCATCATGAGATTAAGTGAAAGAGGATGGAAAACCATCATTTAAGGTGCTCCCTAACCCACAGGGAAGGGCTCCAAAGCAGAAGTACTTCAATTTGGAGGTTGTTGTCTTTAAACTAACAATTCAGAACCAAATACACACCTCTCACCAAGGCAGCTCTTCCTGCATTTCTTGACTATTAGGTCACTATGAATCACTGCAGTGAAAGTGTCTCCCCTTTAGTATCATTCTGTAGTATGGAAGGGAAGTTTCCACTACATAGCAGAGCACACAGCAGTAATTAGGCTGTACTTAATGTTCTTAAACTGACAAATACTTTAAAATTCAACAGGAACAGAGCTGACCAAGTGATGTGCTGAGAAAGTCAGCCATAGTCATGACCACAGCTAGATTTAGGTCAGTACTTACACATTTCTCTATTTCTAAGCCATCCTTAAAGAAAATCATATATGGGGTCACACCATCCTCACGGAAATCCAGGAGAGCCACCATTCCATCTGGATTCATGTTCTCACCTACAAAGAACTTCAAAGAAACAAGTTAGGGAGACATCCAATGAGCTATTTGCAGGAGACAGCACCCAGCATACACAGAAGCTCCCACATTTCTGAGTGCAGTTTAGGGGTGGTCACCCTGACCAGCTGCAGGGATTTTGCCTTCTGCAACTTACAGCCTCAAATCCATTTCAACAAGTGTTACCACCACCTTGCTGTAAACAGCAGAAAGAGAGAGCAGGGACTTACATGGCCTACCCAGTCTTTTCAACTTTATATTTGAAAGACAACCTTAAAACTTCTAAGCCACTCGGTATTCTTCTTCTCTCCCAGCACTCTGATACTCTAAGAGAAGGGTATATTAGATGTCCTTACAACAGGAGCCCTCAAAAGTCAACAAACTATCCGAGCAACTAACCCAATTTCAGCTCATATATACTCTGCTGTAAGTGAACCTAAGTTTCTTTACCTGGTAGTTTTTGAAGTTGGCAAGAATGTGTTTGATTTGTTCTGCAGCCCCCGTCATGAAAGGCTTTACTCTCTCTGGCTTATGTTCCTCAAGTCTGGCTTTGATTCTAGGAGAAGAAAAAGAGTTTTCTTTGAAAACACCTTCTAGGCTGTTGTAGCTTGACTGGGCAGCATCACTTTGTACCAGAAATAGTTGCTAGCAGAGAAACTGCTCAGTCTGGCTGTGCTTCCCCATTCCTCTAAGAGGGGCCAAAATTTTAACTCTACCTTGAGATAACCTGCAGATCTGCCTTTTCCACTTGCACCAGGCTCATTTTCCATTTAGATTTGAGCTGGACAGACCTTAGGAAGCCACTGTCATAGAAGCCGGAGTGCTGATCCAGCAGGGTCACAGAGAGGGTACCCTCACCCCCCTCTAAATAAAAGGTCAGCCCTAGAAACTGTGCTTGGATTAGCCAAAAGATCCAGTCACAGATGTTACACACAAACGTTTTCAGTGTCAAGCTGGCAAGTTTTGGGCAGCTTTGTCACCCCACGCTATCCCTCTCCACAAGAGGCTTTGGCACAGGAGGCATCAGGAAGACAACAGCCAGGTTACCAATAACAGCCCTGACCAAGCCCCGTGCTGCAATTCAGCCAAGACAAACTCGGACATCCCCCTATCAGCTCTTCACTGCTGCTGCTTGGCCAGGTATTAGGACAAGCCCTGAAGTTCACAGCCAGCTTGGCCATGGGCAGCAGGAGAAGTGAACTTTATTCTCAGTAGATGTTGTTAGAAAAGTAATCTTGATGACCTGGATATTTTGCAATCTGGTTTAAAGAGAACCAGAAAGCCAAGGTGCACTCGTGCTAGCACTCACGCTTTCATGTAGTCCTTGATGTACTTCTTGTAGGACTCCTTTGTGAAGCTGGTCTCCTGCAGGTGGTGGTTGATGACGATGTCCACGCCGGTGATGACCGTGGCTTCTGTTCCATCTCCCTCAGGACCTTCGGCAGAGGCATTGCCACCAATTAGAGAGTCATCAATTTGACCCTCTGTCCTGGTGACCATCTAGAGTCGGAGACAGCGAGACACTTAACGGCTCTGCCCGCCCGCGGCGCCTCTCGGCGGCCGAGGGGGGACGCGGGACGGGCCCCCACTCACCTTGCCCTCCACTTCGAGGCACAGGCCGTTGGCCACCTCGCGGATCTTGTAGATGTCCGAGAACATCTCGTCCTCTGCGGGGACAACAGAGCGCCGCGTGAGGCCCCGCTCCGCGCTCCGGGCCCGCCGCTTGCGGCCGCCCCGGCCGCGCTGCCCCGCTCCGCTCCGCGCGCTCCGCTCCGGGCGCTCCAGCTCGCCGCAGCTCCCGCATTCCCCCCACCCCGCCCCACTGCACATGCGCGGTGGCGCCGCCAGGCCCGGCGGCCGCGGCGGCCCCGCGCAGCTGCTCCCTCCCTCCCTGCCTGCCCCCTCCTCCCCGCCGCCCCGCGCCCCCGCCCGCCCTTACGGCTGATGCAGTCCCGGTAGATGATCATGGCGGCGGCGGCGCGGGGCGGCGGGGGCGGCGGCGCTGGTCTCTGCGCAGCGACCCGAGAGCGGGCGGGAGCGAGGCGGAAAGGGCCGAGTCAGCGCCCGGCGCGGCTCATATAGCGGGCACGGCCCCGCGCGTCATCGGCGCCGCCGCCGGCCGCGCCGCTCTGACGTCACGCGCGCGCGCGGCCGCCGTTGGGCGGCGACCGTTGGGGGCGGCGACCGTTGGGGGTAACGGGCGGCGCTGCCGCCGCGTGCAGCCGGCGCCTCCCCAGGGCGAACGGGCGGGGAAAGCCGGGCCTTGTGTCCGCCCCGCCGCCGGCTCGGGCACCTCTCCGCCGCCCCGTTCGTCTCCTCCGTTCGTCCGCGAACAAAGGAGTTCCCTGGTGGAACGGGCAGCGCTGCGCGGGGCCGGCCCTGCCCCGGAGGCGCCTCCGGGCCCGCGGGGGGAGTTGGCTGCTGGCAGGAGCCGCGTTGCTGCCCTAAAGGAAAGGGACTTCTCCCACTACAGTGGGACTCGTCTGAAGGAGAGGTGCGGCCATGTGCTGGGGGAGAGGGGGAAAAGGTAAATCTGCCGGGAACCCCGCAGATTGCCGGAGAATGCACCACTTGTAGACCTGTAAGCAGCCAGCATAAACACTGCAAAGGCGGCTCCAGAACGTGCAGCTGCTGATGGTGAGGGCAAACCCTGCTTGTGCAGTGTCCAAGGCCTGGCGTGGAGAGGTGGTGGTTTAGCAGGGTGGCCGGGCTCCACGTGCTCCAGCTCACAGATATGCACAGCAGCAGCCACAGCCTTTTTTCTCTTGCCGATCTTATATCGATCTACGCATGAATCTTTTTACTACCCTTGACGTGACTTTGCAGCTCAAGGGGAAGAGCTCTGAGTCTCTCGCAGGCGTTTTTACTAAGCGCTGCTCTGTGCACCTCCCCTTCCCTTTCCCCTGCTGACGCCAGGGGTGTCCTCAGGCCTCAGTGTCATCCGCTGTGTTCACGCTATTAACAGCCTCATGATATATTGGCAACCCTGAGCTGCTTCCAGCTGCTGCCTGCTCACCTGCAGGGAAACTCCCTGTGAGCTCCATCCTCTGTAAGGAGGATGGCAGTGTTGCCTGTGCTCCCAGTCTCCTGAAGACTGGGACACAGAGTAAGTCCTGATGTCTTGTAGTTATGGGCAATATGTGCATTTGTCATGATGACATTTGTGCCTTCTCCGGGCATATTGTAACTTTTAAAAGAGAATTAAGCTGCAAGAGCCCTGTATTGATCTTGAGATAAAATGGGTAGGGCCTGTGCCTGCTGAAGGGCTGACTGGAGCATAAAAGAAAATCACATTTATTTTTACAGTGATTTGGGAGAAACCCAGCAATGAGGCTGAGGTGAAAGCAGGACAGTAAAGAAGATAATATCCTAGGTAACTTTTTTTTTCACATGTTCTTCTGCAGCAATTTGTTACAATTGGGAATAAAGATAGTCTTCCCTTAAACCCTGATTCTTGGGGGATTGATTAAAATTCCTTCAAAAGACTTTGGGGGACCTAAAATACATAATGGATTCTAAGAATCGTGGAGCTCAGAGTGATTTTGGGAAACAGGATCCAATTCTGTCCCTCGCCCCTTAGTTGGCAATAAATTATTTGTTGCTTTCTCTATGTATGCCAGAGAAGCTAATGGTTTATCTCCACCTCCCCTGCTGTTCTCTCCTTTGCTCCATAGATATCAGTGACCTTTTTATTTTTTTATTCTCTCAGTCTGTCTAACTGGTTACATAGTCTAATTGTATTAGTGTAGTTCTCTACAAAGTTTCATTTTTAAGACTGTTACTGCTATTTCAGACTTGAGGAAGGGGCTTCTGCCCAAAACCATATGGATTTTTGTTTTGTTTTGCAGTACCATCTAGCCTGATAAAAGATGTTTTCTCTGCTTACAAGCCTTGATCCTGTGGGGAAAGGGGAATTTACGTCTTTAGCAGTGGGTTGAGTGACAGGGGACAGGGGAACATTTTCCCTTTTCTGTAGTATAATATGCAGCTAAAAACACCCTGTTCGTAGATTTTCTTCATTTGGTTTTATTTTGAAGAGATTGCTCTAGGAAAAAAATATTTGTGGTAATACTGAAATTTCTTAAATATCAAAGTGCTTGATTCTGTTTCCTGGGATCAGGGCAGGAACCCTTAGCCACAACTGGTAAGGTAGATGGCCCTTAAAGTCACTTTGCTTTTTGGTCTTTTCCGTATTCAGAATTGCAGCCGTGAAATGGGAGATGTTATTTAGAAATGTGTGAGTTAAATAGGTCAAGGCTGCTGTCTGAACACTAATTTGTTTTGGAGTTAAGCTAAATCAATATCCAGTTTTAAAAAAAAAAACCTTTAAAGGAAGTTTTGAATGTTGTCATGTAAAGTTTTGGCACCACTTTAATGAGTTGCCTTTAAACCTGATTTAAACTCAGACAACCCTGAATAAATCCCAGGACTAATCTTGGATGTGTTTTAATTGGTTTTGGCTTTGCAAGAAGTACTTCTCTGAGGTACTCTTGCTGAGGGTTTCCTGTGATGCTATCTTATGACCTGTACTTGTATCTTGTGAAAGAATAGATTTGGAAATAAATTAAAAATCTTTTCTTCTTCTTTTTCAGAAAGCAGCATAATTTGAAGAGAAGTGTGGTGCTCTACAAGTGCTTTCTGTACACACAGTCCCTTCAAGCATCTCTTGCAGTGAGCCAGGGTTAATTCATTCCAACGTGGCTGTTTATATAATAAGGTAGTTCCTCTTCAGCAGAGGGCGTTTTAGATGCCAGTTGACATTTAAATGTTGTGGCAGGTTCTCTTGACAGCACACCTCATCTTTGAGTTCTGTGAGTCCCCATGGGCTGGTGGAAGTCACGTGTTTTTCCAGACAGAGGGAGGTTTTAATATCATTTCAGCAGGATTTTCTGGGCATGAGCCTGCAGACTGTCACTAGGAAAATGCATCTAGGAGCACCCTGCACACTGAGGGAGATGCTGCCTATAGGGTGCCACTGGCTGTGGGGTGCAAGGGAAGAGCATTTGGGGATTGCACCAGGCTTCTTAGCAAGTGTTCTTATCGAGTGTTCCAGGGAGGAACCAAAGCAAAAGGGTGGGAAGGGAGGGATCAAGGTGGTTTGATCGGGAATCAGCATGGAGAAGTGGAAGGATAAAGGGATAAAAGGAGTTGGTCATGTGTGAAAAGGTTGCTAGTCATTACGCTTGTCTGGTCATGAAAGGCTGCTCATCAGTACGCTTGTCTGGCCACGCTCTGTGCCTCGTCAGTGCAGTCGATCCCATCTCGTCATTAAAAATTCAACAGTTTTAAGTATTTTTCCAAGTGAGGGGCTCTTCCATGTCTGTCTGAGCGTGTGGAGGTCTCCGTGCTGGTTTCTGGAGTCAGGTCGCAAGGGCTGTGCCTGGAGCGAGCGCTGGTGCCTGCGTCACGTGTGAGGGCTGGCAGGTACCCAGCTGGACTAGCCACCAGGCAGGTTAAGTGCCTGGAGGCTAGGCCTGTGTGTGCGTCAGAGAGCAGGACAGTTGCTGGTTGCTAGAAGGGCTAGAGAATCCAGGCCACCTGCCTGAGAGACCCACCTGGCTGGCTCAGGTTTGAGCTATTTACAAAAAATGAAACACATTAGATAGATTAAAAAAATATCTCAAACGAAGGCATCCCTTTCGAGAAGGGAAGAAAGGTCTTTAGCTTAGAAATTGCTCCTCAGGAGAAATGGAGATGTTGACACCCTACTGTTTACAGCGTGTGCAATTCTTCCCGTTGTGGCTGGATTCCTGCTGCTTCTGTCATTTCATTCCCACAGCTCTTCTCTTGAGGAGAGCTGACTGCGCTTCTTCTGGCAGGCAGAGAGGTCGCTGTGCAGCCAAAAAACAAAAACCAACTCCCAAACCTCATGGTTTTGGTGACATTTTATGTATTATTTGGCTCACCTAGAGCCCAGCCACTGGGGGACATACAAGGACAAAAGAGCCCTGCTGCTTTTCAGGAAAAATAGGACTGAAACTGCTGAGATGAGAACTGCAAAGCAAGGATGCTGTATGAGGGTGTAGTGCCTTGGGATGCTGCCCTACGACAGGCTGACCAGTTCTCAGTGGGACCTTGTCCCATGCCAGGTGAGCAGTGTGAGTGTAGGCACCATGGCCAGGCTCAGCTGAGCACCCAGGGACTGGCCCATCGAGATGAGGCTGGGCCCTGATCAAGCCGGGCTCAAGGTTGGGATCAGTGAGTGCAGGGACAAACAGAGGCATTGCAGGCACCAGTGAAGGGTCCAAGCGTGGCTGTGGATTAGACTCAAAAAAAAAAGAGAGAGAGATTCCCCCACCTTGCAACTCTGTGGCTTTCGGCAGGAGTGCTTGGGTGTCTGTGCTGTCTGGAGGTGTCCCAGTAGGTGGCAGAACTAGAGCTGCTGGCTGTGTCTGGGAGAGGCCTGAACTCTTCCATGGTGCCATCCCTGTGTTACCTGAAATGCCCCGGAGCCGCTGCAGGGAAAGCTGCAGCGCAGGCTGGTAACTGAGACAGCCTTTCTGGGCTCCTGGCCAGTCTGGGGCTGCCCGCAAGCTCTGTTCTCCCCAGATAATCAGCATTCCCACGTGAGCAGCATGTGTCTACTGAGTTTTTAATCATTAAAATTGCAAATCCTGTCATGATCAACTCTGTGACCATTTTTCACACTAACGTTTGCTCCACAAAACTTTTGAAGTCTGAAATCGAGTTCTGCAGTCTTAATCCATTGGTGTGTGCCTTCTAGCTTGCTGTAACAAGATGAGAGCCTTAGGAGAATTTGTCAATAGAAAAGATAATCTTTGGAGTATGAGGCATGTAACAGTGTCATTCTTAAAATTATGGCAGCCAGCAGAATCAGGCACTAAATGAGGAGTCCCTGCTGTTTTGCTTAAAAAGGAAACTTTTTGCAGACATTGCAGGTGAATGGCTGGAATAAAGGTGTCATTATAAGTAAATAGATGTATCAACTTTTTGGCCTCCCAGCTGTGCAAAACACTATTTAAAATATTGCTGAGGAGGCAGGCAACAACACTAAGAGATGTCATTTTGGAAAACAGCCTCCTAAGCTGCAGTGTGGTAACCAAAGCTCCTAATACTTGCCAGCCACCAAAACAAACCTGCTGTTCTTTTTAAGGTCAGATCCCAGCACAGATAATATTTATTATTTTTTCTCCTAAGGATTTGCTGACAACTTTATCCTCCCCGCTTCCATGAGAATTAAAAGGACTTGAGTGACAAAGGACATTTCTGAGGGTTAAGATGTATCATCCAGCGCCAGAGTGATTTTGGAATTTTGGATTGCTCAGTTTAATGTGATGAAACAGGGAAGGACTATAGCAGAAACTCCTTCCAGATGCCTCCCACTGAAGTGCTCAGGGCAAATAAGGCTTTTTTTTTTTTTTTTTTTTTTTTTTTTGGGGGGGGGGTGTCTGTGTGAGAGAGAGGGCTGACAATCTTAGGCATGTAAAGACCTTGAGAGGTCAATCAGTCAGGGTTTGTGATGTGGGGGGATTAGTTAGACATGCACTGCTCCAGGGAGATGTTTGTCCACCCTGTTATTCAACCCCTCCAGTGATGGAGATTCCCCCCAAGTGCTGCAGAACAAACATTTCCTGGGACAGGGTCTGCAGCCTGGCCGCTCCTATCCCCCTGTGAGTGCTGCAGAGTTGGACTGGATCATAACCTACAGTGAAGTGGATTTCCATGGTTTCTGTCTCGTGCTTAGATTCTTATCCTTCAGGCTGCCTTGTTCTACTTTGCTGTCTTGCAGCTTACAGGAATTATGTAAACATTTAAAAGAATAAAAAAAAAAAAAAAGAGATGACAAGGTCAGAACAAACAAGAGGAAGTTCCCTTTCACACAGTGTGTGTGGAACTTACTGCTTCAGGATGTCTTGCATGCCAGAAGCTTTGACGATTGCAATAGCAGTCACAGAGGCACAGAAAAATGCCAAAAGGGCTGCTAAGCACTTTGGGTTCAGGAGAAAGCCCTTCAGCCCGGACTGCTGGAGGTTGAGCTCTACAATACTGAAATATTCCCACGTTTGACCTATTCCTTTTATTTTTCCTCTTTATACTTCTGCTGCAGAGCATGGCCTGAGGCAGGAGCTTTTGATCTTTTCCTCCCTGCATCCTACAGACATCACTGAATTACAGTCTGCAATAACCCAGATAGAGGCTGTCACTACACAAATAAGCAGCAAAGAGCGCAGGGGTCACACATGAGCCTGACAAAATTTACCTGCTGCTTCACAGATCTGTAGAGTGGTACTAGGTTTGGAAGCAGTCTCCTGTATCCTTGAATCCCCTTCCCCAGCTTATGAATAAAGTACAGGGGGCAGGGAAGGACATTTGAATTTCTGGAAAAGAGGGGAGTAAGAAGGCTGTGAGGAGGCAGAAAAATCTGCTCTGTTGGCCTGAAGTAACCCTGGGAAGCTGCGATGAGGGAGGACTTCTGCCCGCTCTGCCTCACCAGCTCCCAGCTATGCTAATCGCATTAGCTGCCATCGTGAGGATTTTTCCCAGCCTAATTTTGCTGTCTCATAGTTCTGACCTGGTTCTGACATTTGAAGGAGCAGGCAAAGCCCCACATAGTCCAGGTGCCTTTGCTCCCATTGGCTTCCTTGCTGACCAGATGCCCAGCCAAGGCAGTGTTGGATATCCCTGGATAAGCAAAGGATTGCAGAGGTGCTGCGAGATCAGGCTGCTTTGTAGAGACCATGCCAAGAAATCACATCCACCCTTCAAGGTCTTTTTGAGCAGACCCCTCTTGTCTGTGTTAAATTCTAAGCTGTTCTATAGTATGTGCTAGTCCCGTGTTCCTCTGCCTGTGCAAAATTTGTGTCAGGGCCATCCACACATATGTGCACAGCTCTACCTGCAAACATTTACATGCCTATAAGCAAGCAGAGCACAGAGGCGTTGGGAAAGACACACTCCCACAGCCAAAACTGAGCCCACCTATTTTTCTGCTGTAAGTGCAAATCACCATGGTTATGTTCCACATGGTGGCTGATATTTCTCTTGTTATCTTTTTTTTTTTTTTTTTCCTTTAAAGGTTATGCTGTCCTTCAGTTTTTAAAAGCTCAACAAACGCTGGCAGGAGCACAGCATGTACCTGGGAGGCAACAAAGGAATTCCTGTATGCCAGGCCTGGCATTTGCAGCCGCTCTTCTCAGTGCCTGCAGTCACTGTCTGTCCCACATCCCCCATGCATGAAAAGAGGCTAGAAATGTTTATCCACCTGTTGTGGGGGTTGATAGAACAGATTATTGCTATTCCTTGGGATTGGGAGGACAGGAAGAAATCCCATGGAAATTATGAACATAAAGCTGAGAGAGCTGGGCCTGTTCAGACTGAGGAAGAGAAGGCTGAGAGGGGATCTAATCAGTGTCTATAAATACCTCAAGGGAGGCAGTGAGGAGGAGGGGGCGGCCTCTTTTCAGTGGTGGCCAGCGATAGGACTAGAGGAAACAACCACAAATTGAGGCACCAAAAGTTCCACAGGAACTTAAGGAAAAATTTCTTAACAGTGAGGGTGACAGAGCCCTGGAACAGGCTGCCCAGGGAGGTTGTGGAGTCTCCTTCTTTGGAGATCTTCCAAACCTGCCTGGATGCAGCTCTGTGCTCTGGGTGACCCTGCATGTGCAGGGGGCTGCACTAGATGACCTCTAGAGGTCCCTTCCAACCATAAGCATTCTATGATTCTATGAACATAGACAGGAGAAAGGGAACATA